ATGTGTGTATATATATGTATATATATGTATATATATATATGTGTATATATATATATGAGCCATGTACACATCTCAATTCTTGCTATCCTTAGCCATTCATAATGGTTTTTTTTTTTTTTTATCAAACTACTGGGTAACACATTTATGGTTGAATGTAAAGGCAGTCTAGCGGAAATAAATATAATAGTTATTGACTTTGTATTTCGTTGCAGTTGGATTCACAAACAAAAATAGGACTACATAAACAGCTGTTACCAGGTATACCAACAAATAGAAGCGGTTGATACCAGGTAGACCAAGAACATTGTAGACATTCTGCAGAAACTGATAGCATCAGCGTTAAGTGCAAGGGAATACTGCAAGAATGTACTTCACGGCTCTCATTACGGTTTTATTAGTCTTTTCTAACTTTATTTCTTATTCAGTCAATGGTGAACCTCTAATTCACATGGATCCTTCAAATTCTACAGCAACCGTAGGAGATGCTGTTGAGCTCACTTGTACTTTCCATTACAGTCCTTCGAATCGGGCGTGGATGAAAAATGGAACGGTCATATCTGATGATGAGAAGTACACGGAGAAATATGAAAGGCAGACAAGAAAATTCAGGATCAAAATTAACCGGGTGGAGCCCTCAGATAATGGATATTATCAATGCATAGTAACAATAAATGGAGTGAAAGAAACATCAGAAAAAGCTTGGTTAAATGTCATTGAAATTGCAAAGAAGGTATATCCTATTTGTAAAACATCAAAGCGTAATTACTTAAAGTGTGATACGGTGCGTATGACCTGCATCACGGAGAAAAAGACACCCCCTGTCAACTTGAATTTTATCGCATACCAAGATTCTTCCAATTATTCTAAACCGATAACAATATTTTCTCGATGTGCTAATGAAACACACGAATGGATTACTTCAGAATTAGAGGCAGACATCGAACTTAACAATTTCAACATAAGCTGTGTAAAGTCTGATTCCTTTTCCGAACCTCTTCAGTGCAACTACTCATTTTTGATATATACAGAAGGTAGTATAAGAGTACTCACGTTTATAGTTCTTCTTCTTTATCATCATCATCATCATCATCATCATCATCATCATCATCATCATCATCATCATCGTCGTCTTCGTCGTCATCGTCATCATCAATAATAATAATAATAATAATAATAATAATAATAATAATAATAATAATAATAATAATCTCTTTCTATAAAAAATTCCTGAAAAATATGTTCCTACTTTCCAACCACCAACCAAAATCTACTTTAAAAAATTACACTAACACGAAAGTTTCATTTAGATGAGTTATTTAGTTTTTGAGATATCTGATCTGCGACCTTTTTCTTTGAATGTTCCATAATCGACACTAAAATATAATCACTTCACTTTTCGAACGCCTTTTATTGTACCAGTTGTACACCTGCCAATTCTGACATGTTCTGGCTTAACTTGGCAAGTTTTACTCTTATAGCTGACCAAGAAAATATACATACAGTGTACTGGTGTTGAAATAGAAATATTTCAGGAAAGTTTCATTCATATCAGGTGATTAGTTTTTGAGATATCTTGTCTAGGACGTTTCCTCTAAAATTCATTTAAATGGTCCTGACATCCACACCCTACTCTGGATATAATAATAATCAAGATAGCCGTTAACAATGTTAAAATTATATATAAATAATAAAAGAAAGATAAATACATTGTTCAAATAAAGGACATGATGGTACATCGTATATCATAGCTCTCAACGAATGTTGTCCTGTAAATAAATATATAGTGTAATAAAAATGCCTCCGACGGGAACCAAACCTGCGAGCGTCATAACAATTATACTACAGAGGATTTATTTCATGGTTTGAACATATTCAAATAACCGTCAGCTACATTGTATTAAACATTGCACATTAAAACATTTTTTGTTTTAGAAATCAACATTTTATATTATTGCATAGGCCTATTTTTAATTTTTCGAAGTGTTTTATTGTCAATAATATTATAAAATACTTGTTGGGTATAATTTATGAACCTCCATTTTGCCTATTCAATGTGTTTCCACAATGGATTTGATAGCGTTATTTAGTAATAATATTTAAAAGAAAAAAAAAACAACTGTTATCTTTTCACAGTAAATGTCTCTGGACTACGCCAAATATCAGCAAATGAAGGAACAAATGCAGAATTTACATTCAATATAACTGCTGATGTTGACCTACATATAGTTAAGACATACTGGACTACTGAAAATGACACTAACAACATAGATGTAGATGACACTGATGCCCATTACACCCTGATCAATTCTCCAGGGCAACACACCTTTATAATAAATAATGTAAGGCGCTCAGATGAAGGGTTTTACTGGTTCCATATTGTCACTGAAGAATATGCATCTATTCCTCCAAGTAAAGTTCGGCTTAAGGTCAATCCTATTTTCAAGCCTCCTACATGTAAAACATCTAAGCCTGCTTATAAACCTGGTGAAATTGTGAAATTTACCTGCACTACTAAAGAAAAAAACCCAGACAACTTAGAAGTAGATGGAACTTTGGTATACAAAAGTTACAATGGAAGACAGGCATGGATTACATCCGAATTTGAGGCAAAGGAAGAAGATGATGGTACAATATTGAGCTGCAGACTAACAAATAAATTTTCTCACCCAGAATACTGTTATTTGATTTTGAACGTCTCAAAAACAGTAGATAGCACGAGAAGCTCTGAGCCTGCATGTGAGTGCGATTACACATACCATTTTTTCGGTTTTGGTTTTCCTATATTAATCTTACTGTTATTTGTATGTGTAAAATGCGAGTACCATTATTCTGGTTATGTGACAGTACTGATAAATAAGTGTAGAGTCATGTTTAGATAGTACCGTCGAGAGGGGGGTCAGGGGGGTCGCTGCCCCGTGTCTACTGGCCGCCCGGACGAAAATGAAATATTAAAATCTACATAGGGCCCAAGCCAGGATGAAAACTTTTGTTGTTAGAACAAACTCTACATTATGGATATGGGCGTCTTTCTCAGTCTTTCTGTATTTTTATTACTAGATGAATAACCCCCCAGGGGAATAGTCCACCCAATGCTCTCCCGTTCCAAACCAGATGCAAAATGGTATGATACGTGTATTATATATATATAATTATTATCGTTTATTCATCAGATTATTCTGATACATCTACATTGCAAAAAAATAATCACATGGAATAATATTCATGTATGTGGGTTTGGACAAATAGGGTCTTAGGAGGAGACTTAATTTGGGGAGCGGCCGAGTGGGGGTCCCAAGTGAAGGGGTGGGGGCATGTGAGGTGTTGCCCCGGGGCCCTTACTGGCTCTCGACGCAACTGTTTGGAATCAAGGTTAATGGGAGGTCCGACCGAGAGTCCCGGAACCTCTGGTAATTGGAGGGCTATATACGTGGTTGCGGATCTAGAAATTCGAAATAGTGTAGTGGGGGGGGGGGCAGGAAAGATGTTTTCTTTTTTACAGATGGAGGGTTTAGACCACCACTGCTTCTCAACCTGGGATCGGAGGGCACCTTCAGGGGGTAAGGTAAGTAAATAGGCATTCTAAAATATATTCCGGACCCTATAATTAAGGCAAGAATTACAGAGGGCGCCATTTAGGTCTGCCATTGGTGGTGGATTCTTTCATTGTATTAATTTTTATATACTGTAATTCTATGGAAATAAAGTGCAAGTGAGGGGAAAGTTAAAATTTTAGGGGGCAATATGTTTTCCTATAGCAGACCGAAGATACAATTATAATTTATAAAATCACAACATTAACAGGCAACGCTTCTGTCCATGTGCTTGTTACTTTGATTTGAATGCTCTGTATTTTTATTACAACAGTTTGTTATATGCATTATTTTAAATTGGCCAAGTGGCCTTGAAATGACAGACGGACCGATGGGAGCAATTAATTTTGTTGGCCAATCGGGGGGTGGGGGGATTGAATGTCCCCTTGCCCATTACTACCGTCACTGGAAATAAAGTTTACTTATAGAATATCTTAATATCTCATTACAATTTAAGTTTTAATTAATTTCATGTATATTCAGGTGTATTTATTTTGTTGTTGTTCCTCTTTACTTATTGTTATAGTTAATACATGCATATACACATATTGTATGTAGTTAAAAGGCTCAAATATTGTTATAGTTAATACATGCATATATACGCATATTGTAAGTACATATTTAAGAGGCCCGCCTTTACATATTGGTTTTTTGCACATCTCATCGAGAATTGTGCCACTGTTACAAAAGAGAGATAATAAAGTTATTAGTATTAGTTTCCAGACATGGAAATCAGGTTTAAATCAGGTGGTAGTCCTCTCATATTAAATAAATTTACCTCGATCTAATGCTGGATATAGAAATGTTGAATGGTCTAATTATTCTTCCTGTCACTGAATTTAAAGCAGAAAACTCATTAGAAAGTCAGATGAGAGCTTTTAAAAATAAATAAATCATATAAAGGATTACAGTACACAGCATTCGATTTTCAGCATTGTTTGTGTGTATCAAAAAGTGCTATGGACTTTTTGTTTTGTGTAGCAATTCCAAAATTGTGCATAGCATTTTTTTTTTTTTCTTTTTTGGCGGTGATGAAGAAAATTACAGTGATGCATCTTTATTTTTGAACACTAAACATTGAAACATACTCCATATACTCCCTTACTTTAAATTTCCCATCAATAAATATTATCCCCACTCCGTGCAGAAGTCGATCTGGCCGTGTGATTACCAATATTCATTCATTTAAAGGATTACAGTACACAACATTCGATTTCCAGCTATGCACTTTTTGTTTTGTGTTATAGCAATTCCAAAATTGTGCATAGTATTTTTTTTTTTGGCGGTGATGAAGAAGATTACAGTGATGCATCTTTATTTTTCAACACTAAACATTGAAACATACTCCATAAACTCCCTTACTTTAAATTTCCCATCAATAAATATTATACCCACACCGTGCAGAAATCGACCTGGTCGTGATTACCAATTTACCACTGTCGTACTGTCCCATATTCGCTGTAAAGCCTGTTTTTCACTAGGCGAATTTAATTGCGTGAGTCGACAGCATCGGTGCGCTTCCTGAGCTCTGATTTGTTGCGCATTTTTTCGCTTCGCAAAAAAAAATCTGATATAAATGTAAATGCGCATGCGCATAAGCCGACGCGTTCGATTCGCGTGAACAATTTTGTCTAGTGAAAAACAGGCTTAAGCGAAAGCGACCTTCAGGAGAAGCAGAATGGATGGAGTGGCGAAATATGAGGTAAACACAGAAAAGAAGTCCGACTCATACTCAAACCAGTGCATGAATAGCATTGTATGTGTGCACTCGATTTAAACAAGTATATTTGGCACCGAAACCTTGATTTAGAAATACAGGGTTCAGTGCCGGATTAACCATTAGTTAAATAAGGCACAAGCCTTGTGGGCCAGGCGAAAATGATGGGCCATCAAAAGTTGGACTGCAATATTATTTACACTCTATTTTCCGGTATTATTATGCCAGAAAACTCGGAGACATTCTACTGTTAGAACTTTTGGGCCATTTCCAAAATGTGCCTTGAGGCCAGACGATGCTTAATCCGGCACTGACCGGGTTGGTGTCAGGCGGGGGATAGTTTCCACCAAAGTTTTTACTATTGTTTATTTTATTGTACTGTAACTGCTGGTTACTTTTTGTTGTTGTTATTGTACTGTTTGCAGGACCATATTGTAAAACAGCGGTAAGATCTCGCCTGTATATGTTATCCTGCCAAAAGATGTTTTTAAATAAATATATAAATAAAAATAATTTTTTAAAATATTGCACTATTTTTGGTCCAAAACATAGGATAACAACTTGAATTTGACTGTTTAAAAAAAAAAAATTAAAAAAAAAAAAAAAAAAAAAAAAATTGGGTCTTTTTTGTGTACCAAGCCTCTTAGTTTTTGACTGAGTCGGTAATTCTAGGCAATTAATTGCGTCACATTTTAATGTGATGCATTTGTGGAAGTGCTTTGCAAATAGAGTAGTTTCAAACGCATCGCATTTTGCGATGCGAGACTGGGTAACTCGAACGCTGGAAGTAGGCCTACATCCACATTTCTCTAAAGTTGTCATTTGATTAATAGCGCATTAAGAATATTTATTTTCTTATGGCTAAAATCTCTTCCCTAACCCTCGGATTCAAGAGGTTTTCAATTTGTAAATTGCAAGTCATTTAACTAATGGAACAGAAAACCCTTATATATTTACCATTAGAGAAACTCAAGATAAACTAACATCAACTTTCATCCTACTGTGGATTAATTAGACGTCAGTATTACCTCCAATTTCCATTGCTAATCCACACACAAACAGCTTATTTAAACTCTACATTAGAAAGTGTTTCATTAGTAAGTACATAGCAGTGATAGGGGTCATGGTAAAAATGCAGCATTCAATCTACCTGTACATGAATCGTTCTCTCAAGCCAGGCACTCAAATGACGGTCGTACGACTGTCGTCCGACGACCCCCAACACTGCTATCTGTGAGCGCTAGACGACTCAACGCCGTCTGCTGATTATCGGTGGTAGTTTGAACAGATCGTCATTAAAAACGATCCTTGCGCTCTTGTCATGGTGTTGCGTTCTAAATAGAATCTCGTTGGCCGACGACCGTCAGGCTCAGTGAGTGCCTGGATTTAGTAGGTGAAAAACATAAAGCCACACACAAACAGCTTATTTAGCTTATTTATTAGTAATAGAAATGATTGGTTTACCCTACCTGACGTGTAGGGCAAACACATTAAATGCAATTAATAATTCTAATGAACTTGTAATTCCTGATCATCGAAATAAACACTGTCTGATTAGTAACCATTTAGCAGCATGAACACGTTGTAGCTAACAGCGGTAAACAAGTTACAGCAACTACTCTACATGGATCATTCTCTATCTTAGCACAAAACTTTATCAGTCGTCTTGTTCATCAATCCCACTTTGTTCTTGCACCTGTATGTTTTATTATCTTCATACCAGTTCCCCACAGTTACTGATGATCACCTTGGTAGTAGGTTTACCTGATGGAGTTCCCACCTTCTCAATTGCCTTCACTACACTCATTCCTTCAATTACCTCACCAAAAACTACATGTTTTCCATCTAACCTAAACACAGATAATAATAATATCAATAATTTAATAATAATATACAGTACAATGAGTAAACATGCCATTTTAACTGCTAATGAAGGTACCGTGAAGGTACTGAAAGAAATTAAAACCAATGACTTTGAAAACCTGTTTTCTCTTTTAAAAAAAATATATTAAGACCAGTTATTATTTTAGAAATTTAAATAGTTAAAACCTATAAACAAATTATATCAAATAAATCATTGCATTATATCAAAAGCTTAATACACTCAAACATTAGTAAAATTTACCATACATCAAAAGTATTACATTGAACAACTACCTGTATGACTCCAGCGAAAGGGATTCTTGGATGATAACAACTAATTGATAATCTTCAGCAAGGCTGTTGATGATTAATTTCAGATGTTTTCTTACCATTCCGTTTTTTCCGTCGTCAAAAAGAACTGAGATCCATTGGTGCCAGGTCCAGAGTTTGCCATCGATAATAAGCCTGGTTTTGTGTGTTTCAGGACAAAGTTCTCATCATTGAATTTCTTCCCATATATGGACTTTCCTCCGATTCCATTGTGATTGGTGAAATCACCCCCTTGGCACATCTGAAAGAAATGCTAAGGAAACATGACTATTTGAAGCATGATTCATTGAATGGTGAGATTGTGGTATTCATGTAAAAGTTTAATTATAGAAGGTGCCATTAAGGGTACAAAGTTTGGGATGATGCGGTGAAATATGCTTCCTTTGCAACCATATCCTTTCTCATTGGTGCACAAACAACGAAAATTTTCTGAAAAGGATTAAAACATGGTTTTTGGTATTAAGCAAAGTACAAAAAAAAACCAACTTATTAATAAGAGATGGCTCTAGGATTTGCCTGATGGGGAGTCCGCTGTCTCTAACGGGGATGGGAGGGGGGAATATCCTCGATGAGAGTGTACATGGGCATGGTTGGGTGTTGCTCAAAACCTCTTGAAAGTGGTGAAAGTGGCGAATCCCCAAAAACTAAAACT